TGGAATTTTCTTTTTAACACACCTTATAATTTCAGGAAGATTAAAATAAGATTGTAAAAAAAAAAAAACATTATGCTCAAAATTCAGAAGATACTGCCACATTTATTTGGAAATAAATATTTAGTCAGCATTTGTTATTAATTAATGCTTCGATGTTAGATTAGATGCTAAGAAGATACCCCACTCTTGGAGATAAGCTCATTTCTGCTGAACAAACACATGCCAAATGCTGTGGGAGACACTGTGTTAGGCACAGGGGCAGAAACAAGTCTCGTTTGTTTTGAAACTATTGCATATACAGTCAAAGTTTCCTGTTGGGTTTCCTATAATTAGTTATAAAACTATGGTGAAAATGTTATATGTGTGTGACATATATAACTTAATTTGTTCATTTGAAATGCAATAGCCTAGTTAACAAAGTACAAAGCATATGCTTAACAAATCTTGATTTACTTAAAGTAAGTGAATTTCTAAATTCCCTATGGTCATTATATTAAATTGCTTACCGAAGATAATAAATTAATGACTCAAGCTTTAGACTGTATTACAATATGTCTTTTTTTAAGTACATTGCTTGTTTTGTTCCTGATATTAAAATTTCTACAATAACTTTGACATTTTCATCTTTTCTATGTTAATAGAAGAATTAAGAATTTATTAGTAGATTAATATAAAATCAGCAAAGACATTCTTCCCTTCCCCTGCCTGATTTTATTTGTAAATCATTTCTATTTAATTAAGGCAGAAAAGACAGTACTTTAAGATTGCTTTATCTTTAGCAAGGCTGCAGTGTTCAGACAATACATTGTTTTTTTATGAAATCCATGTCAAATAATGGAAACAGAGCAAATGATTCCAATAAAAATCATTTTAGTTGCAAATAAAGAACTTGGTTTCTCCTGGGCAAAGTCTATGATCTGTAACATTACTAACTCAAGAAAGATGAAGATTGTTCTGTTGTTTTCATTTATATTTTGAACATGACCAGTTAACCTTAGAAATACCAAATAAATGCCACCAAAAAAGAGCACAACCTAAAATTCTCAGAGAAAAATAATATCAGGTCTATTTCTATAAAAAAAAAAAGGAGGTAGGTTTTAGTTGATAAGTCATTGTAGAAATGCTGAGCTGATGATAATGTGAAAGCAAAGGAAGTACAGAAGGAAAACTGCAACCACAATAGGTAGAGTAATTTACAAGAGCTGCCCAGGGTAGCAAATCACTATTTGTTTGTACCCTGACCTCTGCTGGAAATCCCCTTTGTTTAAGAGCTATGACCTCAAAAGATCTGACCAGAAAATAAAGTTTTCTTTTCAAAGCATTTTAGAGTATAGGTTTTTTTGTTTTTTGGGGGTTTTTTTTGGTTATTTTTTTTGCTCAAATTGATTGGTTGTCTGAGTCCTAATCCAGGGAACAATACTTTTATAATAGGGCAGGAGCACTGTGATGTTTACTTGTATTCAGCTCATCTAGGAAGCAGGCAGTAATTATTTCCATTTTAGTGCCATTTACTTAGGTAACACAGGACCGGTATGTTCACTTCCATCACATCAAAAAAAAATTTAAATGCATTTATTTTACTTAATTTTTAGTGATCACAACAGGGGAGAGGAGGTTATTTTGATGATAAAGCAAACAAAAGAGTAAATATCTCAATGTATGCATATCACTGAATAAATAAGAATGAAAAATAATGTTTTAAATGATGAAAATATATTGTAATTTCCATATAGACATGCCAAACTATCAATTTGAATTTTCAAAGTTATATTTTACATTCTAGTCAGAATAATTCTACATCATTCACTGCATCCTCCATTTGCAGTAACAGTAAATTAGGAACCCTGGTATTTTTACTATTGTGATCACTGCATATTACCATGAATAACAACTTTAAAAATCCCTGTCTTATTAAAACTTGTGTATTTTGTGTTGATATGAACAAATTTTATAGACCATTACTTTTCCATATTTTAAGAAAAAAAGAGAAACAAAATTACATTTTAACACTGAAATATGTAATAGTAAAATTTGAAATACAGTAGTATAATTATGCTGACATTTTTTATAAGTGATAACACATAATTGAATGGTTCCTATACCAGAAGAATCACAACTATGGAAAAAGACAAAAAGTCTAATTTATTCTGACTAATCAGGATTGATGTTAATTAAAGAAGAGTGCAAGATAATGACTTCTCATTGCTACCTGATAGATGGAAATAGATTGTTCTTCTTCTAGGTAAAATAGCAATTAGATAACTTTTTAAAAAGAAATGATTTTCAGAAGACCTTCTAAAATTGGTAAGGTATTCATAGAAAGTCTTTTGGAGAAATCATCTAGAAAAATGAATTTCATCAAAGGCTGTTTATTCTCTAATATTTGTCACATTCTGTTGGATATGCACAAGATAAAGACAGTGTTTGAACAGGTGGTAATCAGAACAAAACTGACTTACATTATCTCTGTAGAACATTTTACATTAAAGATCATAGTCTAGGGAAGGGATTAAAGCTTAAATTCAAATCCCAGATTTCTCAACCCACCTGCAGCATGCACCAAGTGTTTTAAACTAAGACTAAATTTTTCTCCTCTGTAAAATTTTGAAAATAGTTCCTGTTTCATAACGTTGTTATGCATTTAAATAAAATTATCTAGTACACATTGCACAGAGCCTGGCACAGAAAAAGAGGTAAATAAGTGCTAGCTACTTAACTATTCAAAGCTGTATAACAAATCACCACAAACTTAGTGGCTAAATAACACAAATTTATTATCTTATGGGTCCTATGTGGCATCGTTTGGACACAGATGAGTTGGCCTCTGCAAAAGGCCTCTGCAAAAGGCCTCCCAGAGGAAAACATGGTATCAGCTCAATCTCGTCTGAGTCTAAGGCTCTGCTCTAAGCTCACACCTCACTGGCAGAATTCAGTTCCTTGTGGTTGGGAGACTGGCGCCCCCAGCGATTAGAGGCTGCCCCCAGTCTCTGTCATGTTAACCCTCCATGATAAGGGGTTCCTCCGCAGAAGTGAATCTTCTGCTTTTTATTTTCTGACTTCTTCCATCTCCAACTTCTGAGTCCTTTGAAAAAGAGCTCATCTCATTTAGTCAGGACCTCCCACGACAATCTCTTTATGATTAACTTAAAGCCAGACAATTATGAGCTTTAATTACACCTGCTAAATACTTTCATCTTGGCTATGTGTGGTGGTTTAATCACAGGAGTGATATCCCATTATAGTCACAGTTCTCATTGGCTTTCAAGGAGAAAGAATTCCTACCAGTTACAAATTGTGGGGACAGTATTCAGATTCTTCCTGCTACAGCTATTTTGTTGTTGTCACCATTGTTATATCAAATATTAAACGAAGTGTCTCTCATTTAAAATGAGTCAGGGAAATAAGCCAGAAAGAAAAAGAAAAAATACCGATGGTCTCACTCATAGCAGGAATCTAGAAAACTTAAATAAGAGACCAGGAAAAAAGAATAACTATAAGAAAGAAAAATCAAAATCAACAAACAACTATGAACCAGAGACAATCTCTGGGGGGTGGGGGTCGGGGAAAGGAGGGATTGGGGTCAAAATAAGGGGGTTGCAATTGTATGGGAAATATAAAAATAAAATTAAAAAAATAAAGTAATAAAGATGAATCTCTTTTAAAAAAATAAAATAAAATAAAATGAGTCAGGGACAAACAGATGTACACCTCCATTTTTAAATATCAAGTCTATACATTTGAGACAATATTTGAATTTTTTGAGGATTTGGCATTTCATCTCAATAATTTGTCTAAGTTTTCTTTTCAATATACTTCCATTATGGTGAAAAATAATAAGTAAAAAGAAAAACAACAACCACAAAAATTTGGCATTTCATCTCAATAATTTGTCTAAGTTTTCTTTTCAATATACTTCCATTATGGTGAAAAATAATAAGTAAAAATAAAACAACAACCACAAAATTATAAAATACCCTAATATAGACTTAGAAGACAATACTTCTGAAATAAATATATTAAACTACATAAGGATCACTAAAACTGCAACCAAAAAGCTAGGGAGCAATTTAAAGAAAATAGTGATTATAAACACTGTTAGATAATCAGATTCTCTCTCCCTCCACATGTATACATACAAATCAAAGAGTATATAAAAGTAGCACTATTTGAAAAAACAAAGAAAAAAACAAAAAAGAAAATTCATCATGGATAGATTTAATTTTGAAAGAAAAAAAAAGACCTTTACACTATTAATAGAATTATCTTAATCAAAATTAAGTAAATAAAATAATGGCTAATTTATAGCAAAATAATAGCTATAATAGTTGGGGAACAAATTATAGTAATGTTTATAGGGATGTAAAATAATATAATCATCATAAATGCTATCAAAAACTATCAACCACAGAACGCTAATATGTAGATAACCATACATAATTTTTATGGAAAAAATTAAGGTCAAGAAAAAACACTACTTCAAATATTCCTACAGGAGGAGGCACATGGCAGAATTAACTGGAAGAGAATCTATTGAACTGAGTGAGGAAAAATAACCAAATTTTAGGAGCTAAATGAGTTAAAGGAAGAAATTTAGAGACCTATACTCAGGTCAAAATGGCTATTGTAGAAAAACAGAGCAAATAAGGAGACAATACAGCGGCACAATAATTTACATTTTTGCAACTACAAAATAAAGTGGAATATGACCAAATAGAATCAAGTCTCAGAGTAATGTGAATGTTCACCTCTCAGATGACCTGGTAATGAGGTCTTCAACTCAAGGCAATAATTTATAAATCTCAGGCAAACAAATTAACCCTTTGTAATAGAACGTGGCCAAACCAGATTCATATTGGAGGAAAAATTTGAACTCTTCAGGGATCTTGTACAGAAGATAAGAAATGAGGTCATATAAATATGAGATCAAATATATGATTTATATATCAGAGTTCAATCAAACTATATATACTTAAGAGGTCCTAGATACTGGATGTACTTACAGTTGCTGTCCTTGATTGAGTCATGGTCAAAAGACTATTGAGTCATGTTTCCTGGTTCTTTCCTTGGGTTTTGCTTCCTTAAGGGACTTTGTCCTGGAAAGAACAAAAAAGTATTCTTTTGGTTGCCACTGTAATCAAGCTTGGAATTCTCATAATTGCTTTTTCCAAATTTACCAAGGAAAAGTAGGTTTAGAAAAGGAAACACTAGGGGGAAAAATGGGTAAGAAAAAAGATCCTTCTAAAAAATAGGTATCCTTATTATTTTGGGGGGGAAATATATATATATACACACACTGATGAAAATTATTAACACATTTCTTTGCTAAGCAGAAAAATGCCCGCTCTAAAGATATCCATGCTCTCATCCATGGAAGTTGTGACATGGCAAATGGAATTAAAGATATAATTCAGGCTAGATCTTCAGATTTAGAGATTGTTCTGCATTATCTGAGTGATCATTAGTCTCATTGCGTGGGTCTTTGAAAACAGGAATATTTTTTAATGTTGTCAAGATAAAAAAAAAAAGAGTTGATTGACTTTGAACCTGAAGGAAGAGGACCTTCAACTGAAGGATATGTGTGGCTCTATCAGCTGCAAAATGCAAGGACACTGTTTCCTAGCCCTTGAAAACTTAATTTTAGCCCAATGAGATGTCCAACTTCTAACCTATAAAAACAGAGATTAATAATTTATACTTTTAGGCACAAACTTTATGGTAATTGATTGTAAGAGCAACACAAAACTATTATAATAATGAAAATTTTGCAAACATTACTCCAGCTAGAGTTAAAAATAGCTTTTTTTTCCCCAGCAGAAAAGCAAAAAAGATAGTGTGAAAATAAGGAATCATGAGAGCAAGTCAATTATTGCTCCCATCTGTCCTCCTGTCCCAACCAAGGCCTATTCCAGCACCTCTGTTAGCTTAATTGGTCTCTCAGGGCATTTAAAACATATCAAAAGGTAAAATGTCGCAGTGGGGAATGCCTCAGCTAAGGAATCCAATATATCCAGGCTTGAATTCCTCCTTCCTCACTTAAAAGATATGCACTACTCAGGAAAATATTTCAAATTTCATCCTCAATTTCTTTATCTCTATGATGAAGATAACTATTTGCCATGAGATTGTCAAAATAATCAAACAAGTGAATTTTTAAATAATGGCCAATACATAGCATATCCAGGGTTGATTTTAGTTATTTATCATCATTGTCACTTTTTCCCAGTGAGTTACATAAACCACAGAGAAGTTAAATGCTTAGTCTGTAGCTCACATCAAGAAAACCACAGTATAAAGAATACTTTCAAAGCATTTAGCTTCTACGGGTTTTGTTTTGGTTTTTTTTTTTTTTTTCACTTTTTTATGCAGCAGCCATTGGTCAAAAAGATACATTATTATATTAAAAGAGTCCCTTAAACATTTGGACCCATTTTCATGCTCTATGAAAGAAAAATCTTAATAGCAATCACAGAAATTAGGTTCCCAGATGCCTACGGAAAATTATGTCTAAAATACTCTGCTCATTACTACTGTCAAATACATAAGTCATCATTATTTATGCATCATCATAAAATTCATCAGAATGACTAAACCTTAACTGTATCTGATCTGGAGTACCAGGTTGGGTTCCCTTAAAGTACAACCTGAAGTGATTTATTGTAGATATGCTCTCAGAAGTAAGGGAAGGAGGCAAGCAGAGCAGGCAAGGGAAGAAAGCTAAGCACATATGTGGTCCTGTCATGGAAATAAGTTTCAGCCTGACCCCACAGGAAGGTATAGAGCATGAATTGTACCACAGAGTGGGGCTCACCTGGAAACCTCAGGGTCATCTGTGCACCCTGTGCATCTGTGCACCCTGTGCATCTGTGCACCCTGTGCATCTGTGCAGGGTCACATGTGAGCTATTAGAAAGCAACAGGGACAGCAGTTAGAAGAAAGTGCCTGGGAAGAAGGAATGGGAATAGACACACCAGTTTCCATTACAAGGGATAATTCCAGAACTCTGGATCAGAACTAGCTCTTAAATTACAAAGTTAGATTACAAATCTCTGGAATGGAACATTAATTTTAAATCATACTTTTCCTGGAAGATTACAAATGCTTCAGTCTTGTAAATTCAATGATTGGGCACAGTTGTAGGTAGATATTTAAAGAACGAAAAGTTTAAAGCAAACTAGTATGCAATCTAATAAAATATGTGTCACTAATTATGATAGAAGTATCATATCACTAATAGTAATACATCAGTTACATGTTCCCCCAGGAACAACAATACCAATACTTCACAGTGACTTATAAACCATCATACTTTGACCAATGTGGGATTGATTTTTAAATTGCCTTTTAGCAGGGCCTTCCCCGTGGCGAGGCAGTTGAGCGCTGGGTTGCAAAGCTGCCTACAGCCTCTGCAGCTCCAGTTCAATCACTGGCCACTGGGCAAGGGTCCCACACGGCGCGCAGACCTCTCCTGCCGCCCGCTGCTCCCCTCAGCAGTGTACTTCATCATTCGTCAGTCTGCCTGTTCTGTTCCCTGCTCTGTCTTTGGTGTATTCTCTCACCCACCTGCGCTTCTGAATGTACCCAGTGCTTGTATAAATAAATAAATAAATATTTTAAATAAATAAATAGAAAAAGGGAAAAATAAATAAATTGCTTTTTAGCAAATAGGTATACTAAGATACTTTTGGATGTATCATGCATCATTTTTTCCATTGTCGTACTGAATAGATATACCCAATAATGAACCAAGTATCCACCACAAGCTCTGAGAGCTGGTGCCATCAACACTACAGCTGATTATTAAGTAACATAAAACCCAAAGTGCTTATAATGATAATGTCAGTATTATTCAAATACTTTTTTCTTGATAAGGAAGATTAAAAAAAAAAAGAAGGGACCCTAACTACCGCAGATTTATTTTTACCTTGTTTTATCAGGCTAATAAGCTTGTATTTGATATTTAGATTATTTCCAAGAAATTGTCACCATCCACTGTTTTTGTTTTTTGCTTTTGTTTTTTCTACTTAATCTCCTTTCAGTATCTCATCAACCTTTTAGATTTATAGAAATAACATGAACTTGTTTTTATGTAATGATATAATCTAAAATGATATTTTAATAAACGTTCTTCTGCTTTCCTAAAATTTTATGAGTAAATTTTACTGTTAATATCATCTATGGAGAATAATAGAAACCTAACTGAAAGCAGTAATATTCACATTATTTTTAAATCCTTTTCTTTATAATTGTATGACATTGATAACTATATAGCATTAAAAATGAGTCAATTACAAAACAAACAATAATCGACTCCACTTACTTTTTAAATAACTGTGCTTTGACTTATGAAGTCATAAGCCACAAATATTAATTGTTGACACATATAGCAAATATCAGCATGTTGGGTAATCTGTTTCTAGATACAAACTTAAGAACTACATTTTCTACAACAGAGCTACATTCTAATATTTACCAAGAGGGAGTGGTTTAATAGCATCTTGAGTGCAAGACCTGTCCTGGGAGTCTCCCTAATGAATCATCTCATCCCATACTCTTTGTCAAAAACTTGAGTGAATAAAGTGTTTGGCTCACTGATAAGTGGAAGCACAAAAAATAATTGGACATGGTAATCGAAAATTTGTTAGACCTGTCACTGAACATCATTATCAGCTTCAGAGCCAACACAGCACAATTAGCTTACAATAGTATAGTTGAATCAAGTCCAAGTTAAGGTTGAGTGAGTAATGCACACTCTTCAGTAAATTAAATTAGACTCCAAGTAGATGAACAGAATAAAGGTTGCTCATTGTGAGTGGTATAAATAAGGTGAAGCATAGGATTTATGGAGTGCTAAACCTGTTTCCTGAAGCAATGTGGGCTAAATAACCTTCATTACTGCCTCTTAACCAGCAAACATGTCATAGATCAGTCTGGGTCTAAAAATAAAAATCTACTTAATTCTGGCCTCTGGCTTATGATTGAACTGTTAGAAGTAAACAATCAGATATATAGGCATTAATAGGTAGTAGACATTATATTCTTTCCATTGCCACATGAGGCTACTGACAGTTACAAGAAAGGAAGACTCACAAACCACAATGTCCCTCAAATTCTAGATAAGATCTTTGGGGAAAGACTACCCCATCATGCTTTCTAAGTTGAATACTATTTTTAATTAAAATTATGGTTATATTTGTGTAAAATATTTTGCTATAGTCTTTATGCAATCAGTGATGGGAAAGCACTTGAAATAATTGGTAAGGATATATTACTTGCCAAGAAAACAAAAATCAGTATTAGATTATTTTTAAAGATTTATTTTTATTTATGCATATAACAACTGGGGTATAAGCCAGAGGTGAGGGGGTGAGAAGATTCACCAGAGACAGAGTGGGGAGCAGAACAGTCAGATCTACTGAAATATACTGTTGAGGGGAGCAGTGGGTGAGATAGGAGAGGTCTGCTGCGCTATGCGGTTTAGCTCCCTGGCCAGGAATCAAACTCAGGCCATAGCAGTTGAGAGCGCACTGAGACATAACCCCTAGGCCAGCAGGGGGGCCCTGATCTATATTAGATTACCTACATACACATTCATGATAGGTTCTAGGTGAAGATATGTGTTTGAGAGAATGATTGAAAATTGCCATAATTAGGGCCTCCCCTGTGGCACAACGGTTGAGAACATGGGCTGCAAAGCTGCCCGCAGCCTCTGCAGCACCAGTTTGATCCTGGCAGCCAACGAGGGTCCCACATGGCGTGCAGACCTCTCCTGCCACGCCCACTGCTCCCCTCAGCAGTGTGTTTCGTCAGTCTGCCTGTTCTGTTCCCCGTTCTGGCTCTGGTGAGTCCTCCACCCTCCTGCGCTTCTGACTGTACCCAGTGCTTGTATAAATAAATAAATAAATATTAAAAAAATAAAATAATATTGCCATAATTATGATTAAATAAAACCTAACAAACAGGTACTTGTGTTACTGGTATGTTTTGGAAGCTCATAAGTAAAGACAATTATTTCAATGCCAGCTGCAACTCAATTGCAAGTCTTTACAAGTCTGCAAATTTCATATCTTTTGATTGTATACTAGAATATACAAAC